GTTTTGACTTTTGCAGGCTATTTTGAATTCGGAATTTCCCCCATCTAAAGATGGTAGGTTTAGCGAAAATCGCTTTCTGAGCTGTAGGGTTAGGGTTAGGGTTTTGAGTTCTTATGAAGCTCTAATTTTTATTTTTCTTCTGTCTCAGCTTCCCCTCTCTTTGCTCAAGACTGCACAGGGGCATCCCATGGTAAGCTTTTGAATTCATGTGGAAGAGGGGTTGTGTCTCTTTTTGTTTTCTCTCTTCCTTGCTTATTGTTTAGTCTGATCTTATTTCTTTTCGGTGTGGTAATGCAGTTAGCTCAATTAGGTTTTTCCAAGTGCTGCATGTTTTGAATGAACCTGAACTTATTAATAACATATAAAAACAACAAACCCTGTGAATAAAGTAGTTATAGGAATAATTCTCCTGTTGTAGCTGTTTGGGAAATTGGTGGGAGAATAACAAAAATGATTTCATGTTTTGTCCTGTTGTTAGTTGAGGCTTTTGGCTAACATTCTTAAAGGCAACAGATTTTTTGTTGGTATAGTTTATCAGTTTCTGCATATTTATATTGTATCTCCAAAATATGCCACAAGTCCCTGGAGCCCACGAGATTCGAGGGATTTTGAGAATTCGTGTGGGATTATTCTATTTGTTCAATTATCTCAATCTGGAAACTTTTGTTTTCTAATACAGTTGGTGGAGCTAAAAAATGGAGAGACTTATAATGGTCATTTGGTGAATTGTGATACTTGGATGAATATCCATCTTCGTGAAGTTATCTGTACATCAAAGGTAATTCATTGTTTTTTTATATGTTATTGCTAGGTTTTCAAATGTATTGGTGCAAGACCACCTGATTTTGAAAAATTAATGCAGGATGGAGATAGATTTTGGAGAATGCCTGAATGTTATATTCGTGGCAATACCATAAAGTATCTTAGAGTTCCTGATGAGGTTAGTTTATTTTCTTAATTACTATGATTAATAATGCTTTCTTGTAGTATTATTCTTTTTTCACTTGCAACATAGTGTGTATGGCACTTTTGGACTTTGTACTAAGGGGACAGAAGATGGGTGCCTATTTTGTAGTAGTTATTTGTATTATTAAATGGTTGCTTTGCAGGGGTGACTGTAAAATTTGTAAACTAGTTGTGGAATGGCAGTTTCTACTTAAGTAACTAGGACTAAACTACTTGCTTTAGTGCTATCACTCAACATGACAATGAGTTTGAAAAATCTTTAGTTTTCATAGAGAGTACACGTATTATACACAATATTTTTTTACACACCTAACGTGCAGGCCTGAATTCTTTTTCCCGTGCCAAGCACACAACTTATTTTCTGATAATGGGTGGGTTGAGAATTGCACCATGTTGAGATGTGAAATGTGTGATCATTTGATGTAAAAGCTTAAGTTGTTAGGGAGAACACATTTTAATTTACTTAATAACATCTTGTACAGAACACTGAGGACGGTCCATTTACACCTTTATTGTGGTGCATTCTAGGGGCTTGGTTTGATGTAAGTAGGTGGAATGAAGATACTTGCTAATCTTGGAGTGACCAGACTCATGGATATACTTGTCTGGTTATTCACTCAATGGGGCTTTTAGGGGTGGGTTTCAGTTGTGTTGTTGTAGGCTGAAGTTATGTTACTAGCTAATCTGTGGTGTCTGGGTCTATGTGGCTAAACTTACCTTGACATACTTGGATTCAGAGCTGGAAAACATAGAGAACCGGGTAGAAAAGTTAAAAGAGGTATCAGCAGTACCAAGCAATAATGCAGGGAACTGAAGGTTGAACTTATAACACAACTCTGATGTTCCTAAAGGCTAAATATAAATGCATCCATACTCTTGTTACCTCTTTTCTACTGATAAAATAGATTTCTTGAAATGAAATCATTGTTGTGGTTGGAACATTAGTGTTTTAGACTTCGAACGTAGTGTTCTTCTCAAATAAGATGTGTAGCCAAGTGGTTTTCATATAAGATTCGGAAGTTAGATAATTCTTAGTTCTTAAGTAATTATTTTCCAATATTACTGGCTTATTTTATATAAGATATCCTATACTAAAAAAGATTATAAAATGTTAGATATCATAAGGTTGAACCCCTATTGATGTTGTTCTTTCTTGCGTGCTTGTAGTCAACTGTATGTTCATTTCCTCGTGACTGTGAGTAGAACATTCCTGTAAGAAGAGAATTGATTATGCTGATGTGATGCAATTTAGCCAAATCAGACATTGTTGTGCTCCCTATGGACCGTTGAATCTGACACCTTAGGTAGGAGTGCGACTCTATGAAGCTTTAGCGATGACGATCTTCCATGTGAAATCTAACGTTTGCAGTTTTGACTAAATAAAGCGGGGGCGCATGCTTTCTGCTTTTATTTTCTGTTTACATCGTATTATGCACTCTTCCGCCCTATTTTTTTAATAGATCATGACAGGCACATATGGGAAGTTATCCTAGCTTCTCTCGTCCATTCGCCGTCCACACATTCATAGTTGATTCAGGAATGACCTTTGAGTTTTGGAGGTTATCCTTTTGTTGATCTTTTAGGAGTGCCAGGAACCATCTTTTCCCAGTGTTTGTTTCCTCTGTTAGATGCTTTTCTTTTTGTTTGTGTGGGCTTTCAATACTAGCTAGGAAGGGAGATGATGTTTGAATACAACTGTTATCCTAATTTTCTGTACTTCTCCTTTGTTTGGACATATGGGGGGTGGGGGGTTTGAAAAGGAGAGGTAGGTGAGAAGAGTTTTCATGGGCAGCTCACATTTTCTTTTAAAAAGTCATAACGTTAACAGATAGAAGTAACTATAAAATGAAAACCCCCTATATCCTTTCAGACGTAAAAGGCAGATTTTACACTTTCACTTCTACAAAAATGGAAAAGAATGCAGATTGCCTTTTCTTTTGTACATGGAATAACTTTAGTATTGCAACATTATTTTACTGAGACTCTAAGCTTTGTAGATATTCTTGATGATATATATATTTTAAAATATGGACATACCTACTTGTGTTTACTGGTTTGAATAGTTCATTTTTATCACTGGGGTTGGAGACCAAGTTTGCAGGAGTTTATAAATTCTGGAAGCTTAGTCTGCCCTTGGCTCTTCATTTGACCAAGTTAATAATCCCTCTTAGTGTTGTTTGGGTAACTATGCTATTTGTGTAATTTTCCAGGTGATTGATAAAGTTCAAGAAGAAACAAAAAGCCGTGGAGGTACTACTTTGGACTATTAATTATCAGGAATACTTATAGCCATTTCTATTTTAGCTATTGGATCAGTGTGGAGTTTGTTGATTTTACAAATACTGCCCTACTAGCCTAGAATCAGTGTCTGAACATTCAGCTTAATTAGTATATTTTAAAATCCTTTTGCAGATAGAAAACCACCTGGTGTCGGTGGACGAGGAAGGGGAAGAGGAGGTAGGGATGAAGGTGCTGCTGGAAGACAGGCGAAAGGCATTGGGCGTGGAATGGAAGATGCAGGTGCCAAAGGCCGGGGCAAAGGAGGACCTGGTGCCAAGTCTGGTGGAAAAGGTATGAAGTGTTCAATATGCAATTTTATTCTCAATTCTGCTAAAGCTTATGTTATCCCCGAGTCTCAATCCGTGGCACTGCATTTCCATGTGAGATATCTTATTCATGCATATATCTATCTAGCAATACATTCATGTTCAATGTTTGAATTTAGTCTCCATACAGCAAGTCTCTATGTTGTAACAGTCCTCAAGTATATTTGTGAATGCAATATCTATATAGCCATTTGCTAATCAGATGATTTTGGATGGTATTTATTGTACAGGTGGTGGCCGTGGACGTGGCTAATCGTCGTCATTTAGAGACAAAGAAGCCAGATGACAAGCTAGATATATTGTATCTAATTTTGTTTGTACTTTCAAATTATAAAGTAACTTACCGGAGAAAAGGCCTGCTTCCAGTTATTATTATTTTAAGATGGAATGTATGTAGGCTTGAAATGCTTCTTTATTTTTAGGTTTCAAGTATGCCAAAATTTGGACGAGTCCTCGTTGAAAATATGATATTTTCTTGGAAAAATTACGTAATTAGACATATTTCATTACCATATAAGTATATTATTATTACTACACTTTCAAAATATTACGTATTTTATCACTAATTAAGAGTTTATTATTATTACCTATATTTTCAAATATTACGTATCTTATTACTAATTAAGAGTATCCTACGTATTTTATGCTTAGATGCATGTATTTTTGCTATAGGGTGAGATTGGTGAGGGAGGCCAGCAAGATTCGATACAAACAATCACACTAGATACATGTATTCGTATGTATTTGGTTGGAGCTAGCGAGATTTGCTAGGTATTTAGATACATATACGAAGTGAGTATTTTTTTTGTAGTTCCTTTTATAATTCCTGTTTTGTTTGAGGTTTGACGAAAGAAAACTTATCCTATAATTGAAGCCACTTCAAGGCAATCACGGAATCTTTAGTATAAAGACAAACTTATTACCGGATGCAGACAAAGAAGTCCAAAATGTTGCAATATAAAAATATCATTTTGTGTTGGACATATTTCTTTCCTCATCATCAGCCGTTAGTGTAGTTGATGGCTGGCATCAAAGTAGATATGGAGCAGCAACATCATATGATAGTTGAATCTCAAGAAATAGAGAAAGAAGAAGAAGAATTAAAGCCTCAGAAGACGAAGCGTGTTGCTTCCCTTGATATTTTCAGAGGCCTCACTGTTGTTGCAGTAAGTTTGACCATTTGTGTCTCATAGATTCATGTTGCCGTAAGGACGTGAAGATTTCACGAGAAGAGTATTCATGCTGTAACATGGTTGATTTTGTATTCTCTCTATCAATTTTAAAGAAGAGATTGATTTCTGTATCCTATTTGTCCTGTCCCCTAATGTATAATCTTAAGAATGATCTCCTTAGTCTCGTGATTTGCTTGGACTAGATTATTGGAAACTGCTTAGTGCATTGAGATGTACACTAATTCAGACATCGAATTTGTAGCTGATGGTCTTGGTTGATGATGCGGGAGGAGAATGGCCTATGATCGGGCATGCACCATGGAACGGTTGCAATCTTGCAGATTTTGTGATGCCATTCTTTCTGTTTATTGTGGGAATGGCCATAGCACTTGCTCTGAAGGTTATCTTTGCATTCTTTTTTCTTCTTCCCATTATCAAGAAGATAAAGTAAGGTAATTGGTCCTACTCATTGGTGCTTATTGTGTAGAGAATACCAGAAAAGCTAGTGGCCATCAGAAAGGTGATTCTAAGGACACTCAAACTTCTATTTTGGAGCCTCCTTTTACAAGGTCAGTTATCTTTCTTTCCTTCCTTTTATTTTATTCTTCCCTTCAATTTTCCATAATTCGTGCAAGATCCATTCTATTCATATAGAATATATCATAGGAAATCTAGGCAAAGTGTTGGACTTACAATGTCTACAAGCTTCTGAAATAAAGAAGTAACATTTTCCCCCTTTCTCTGGTAAGGTTTCACAGTTCTTTAATGCTATTGACTGAATGCATAATCTGCTGCAAACCTGAAAAAGTAATTTAAGATGTCTTCAGTGGAGAACATCCATAGTAATTAGTCAATGATGTGCTTTAGAAGTTAATGATTTGTAGGACTTAAACATATATCGGATCTCCTAAAGTAGTCACACGTACTCACCTTAGGGGCTTATTGCTTTATTAGCCCTCGCTCTGTGATTCTGCCAACCTTTGCGATTGCAATAAGTTGTAACTACTTTTTAGCTCTGATGAATCTACAGATCCTTTCTCCTTTCTAATGGACAACCTATCCCAGAACGAATGATCAGTAATGACATCCACTGATTAGCTTTCCTTTAGGAAACAGAATTATGTTTGGCTTCAGATAGAAACTTCCAACCAAGTGGGAATCCATTTGTAAAACCTGGTCTTGCATCTCATCTTTCCTCTTCCCAAAATCATTAGAAGCCTAAACTCATCCTTTGAATTGTGAAGGGAGATATTTCCACGATCTTGACAAGCTAAAATATAGTGTTGACATGAATAGGATAAGGTTGTGTGGCATCCTCCAGGTAATAGTTTCTGATCCCACCCCCTTTTCTGTCTCTCTTTTGAATGCTAATATCTTGTGTTGGTCATAATTCTTTTGCTTCTTATCTTTGTAGAAAATTGCTCTCGCTTACTTGGTAGTGGCCATAATAGAAATAACAACAAGACAAGCCCAATCCAAAGGACTACCAACGGGATGGTTCTCCATTTTCAAGTTATACAGCTGTCAATGGTGAGTATTGTTTTGGTGTTTCCAAAGTGGTGATAGCATTAAGGATCTCCAAGTTAGTACTGAACATTTCTTCATGATTTCAGGGTTATTGGAGCATGTGTTTTAGTAGTTTACTTGGCCACATTATACGGAACATATGTTCCTGACTGGAATTTTGTTGTCCAGAACCCGGACAATGTTGATTTTGGGAAGACTTTAACCGTGAGTTTCACTTGTCCATGTTCCAAATTTACCTTTAATATTTCTATATATTTAAAGTCAAAAGATTTTGCTTTTGGTATTAGGTAACTTGCAATGTGAGAGGAAATCTTGATCCTCCTTGCAATGCTGTGGGTTATATTGACAGACAGATACTTGGAATCAATCACATGTATCCACATCCGACTTGGAAGAGATCCAAGGTGATTGGTTCTTCACAAAATTATATCTTCCCTCAATTGTTGTTCTTTGTGATTTTCCATCTCCATTATCACCGGATTAAGTTCATCTATGACACCTTTGATGGATCTTTATTCTACAGGCTTGCACTAAAAATTCTCCATATGAGGGACCTTTCAAGGATGATGCTCCATCATGGTGTTGGGCTCCTTTTGAACCTGAAGGAATTCTGAGGTAGGAATAATTCGTATCATCAATTCTCTCTTTTCGTTCAAGTCTTGTGTGCTCATATCATCAATACAATTTTTATCTCCGGATTTCTAGTTGCTTGATTAATAAAAGCTTTTAAAGTCTAATACCTTTTATGCTACTTACCAATGTTCAATTTTTCCTGTCTGGTAAATTTTTCTACTTATGACTACAACTCAATTCCTGCTATTCTCTCTACGGTCCTTGGGGTTCATTTTGGGCATGTTCTTATTCATATGAAGGTTAAGTAAAAATCTTCTAGACTTGACCGTCTCACCAAATTAAAGGCAAAGTTATTGATATTCCAATTTTTGTAACTCCAGGATCACTCGTCCAGACTTTTGCATTGGATTGGCATGGGCATAGCTCTTTTAGTTTTAGGAATTATTCTCCACTTCACATATGGTAAAATTCGCAGTTTATGAAATGCACTCGAAAGCTGGATATATCTTCTTTTCTCTTCCTCAATTATATCTACACACAATACAAACAAAGGTACTTTCATCTTCCCGAATCTCTCATCTTATCAGTTTAGATGTGTTTTTGACTCTTATCTCAAATTTAAAACTAGTAGCATTATATATTTTGAACCTATATTTTTAAAATTTAACGATTCAATGTTAATTACTTAAAGATCAAAACGGACAAATTTATATCTTAGATGCATCTTTTCATAATAATACACTCATCCTTCTGAAATTGTGAATACGCCTCTGAATGTGATGCGCTTGAAACATTATAATATGAAGTCATTGTAAGTTGAGTAAACCTGGGAAAGGCATATGCAAAATTACCCAGGAATATGGTCATTCACCAATTAAAAATCACTTTGATAAATAAGATATAAGTATGTCAAACACATCTAAGCGAAAAATAGAAAGAAAAAAAAGTGCATAGATTTCAATTGGATACCCTTCTTCACCCGCCCTAAGCAAGATTAGTTCACGCATCTTCTGCGTAGTACTAACGCAAACTTGTCCCAGGGATACAATATATTGTTCGGGAAAGGTCCAAATATACCCTCATACTATGCGAAATTAAACATATTTTCCCTCCGTTAATACTTCAAATCACTAATGCCCTTAGCGTCAAATACTTGGTCCAAAACATGTTGTGCAAGTCAGGCCATAAAATTCTCTCTTTAACCCCACACTCCTGCAGCCTTCGGAGATATAAAGTTAGTAATAGAGAAGACTACAACAATATACCTAGTGTAATTCCACAAGTCGAGTCTGAAGGTAGGATGTATGCACATCTTACCCGTACCTTAGTGGGGTAGAAAACTCTCGACTTAAAAAAGAAATTAAAGGGCTTTTTAGTCGCAGTTAGCACCGATGAGAATGTACCAATTTACAAACAATGACAAGGCATTTTGTTCTAATACAAAGCACTTAGATACAAGATCCAGTTTTGACAGAAGCTCAAGTGTTTTCTTCCAAGTTCAAACATTCCTATTATTACAAAGTAAAAACTATATATTTTATCAAAAGAGAAGTCACCAAAGCAATGAACATGCATCTTTTGAATTGACAATTGCTCCAACTATATATAATTCGTTGCAAAATTTGAAGTAAAGTTTGGCTCTGATTTTGTGCACCTCAAGTCAATCAGCTGAGTCTTTTAGGTTGAACACCGGAAGTATGGGCCTCCTCAATACGTCTGGTAAGCAATGATATTCCGTAATGTGAGGCACTTGAAGCAGTGAAATATGAAGTCATCGTAAGTTGAGTAAACCTTGGAAGTGCATATCCTGTAATGCAAAATCTGGTCATTTACACCTCGAAAATTACTTTCATAAATAAGATTAAAGCATGGGAAAAGATCTTTGATTATTACTTTCCAGTGAATGTAAAAATGAGTGGCTACTTTATTTTCCTTTAAATGGCACTTTCCCATGAATTATTCCTTCAAAATATTATAAAGAGCCTAATTTATTGATATACGAAATTCTAGTTTTGAAAAATAAAGTGAAGAAATACTTCTTTGGGACAAGGGGAGAGGGTCGGCTGGGCCTGCTTTTTCAATCAATCTCCGGGCGCTCAGTGCCGAGCACATCTAAGAGAAAAATAGAAAAAGAAGTGCATGGATTTCAATTGGATACCCTTCTTCACCCACCCTAAGCAAGATCAGTTCAGCAGGCCAATTCACGTATCTGCTGCAGAGTACTAACGTCAGCCCTATGAGCTAACTTGTCCCCTGGATACAATCTATTGTTCTGGAAAGGTCCAAATATACCCTTATACTATGTGAAATTGAGCATATTTTTCCTCCGTTTATACTTCAATTTACTTATGCCCTTAGCATCAACTACTTGATCCAAATACGCCCTTATTCTGCTCAATTGCACATAGTATTTGGACAAAGTATTTGACAGTAAGGGCATAAGTGAACTAAAGTACTAACGTAGGGCAAATCTGCTCAATTTTGCATAGTACAAGGATATATTTGGACCTTCTCTGTATATTGTTTAAACTTGGTACCAAGAATAAGTACAACAAAGCGATAACTAAAAAAACTAAGTCTAATAAAGTCAGTTATGTCTACAATTCTCCAAATTTAGAAGTATTTGAATCTTCGGATCCTTGATTGTGCCTGGCATGACACTACTGTTCACTGACCACGCCTCTTATTCAAGCGCTCAACATTTCTTATCGTGACAAGAAGATGCTCATATCTTGAAGAAGACAATTAACCTTAGCATAACAGAAAGCTTGCTCAACAATGATCTGAAACTAACAAGTTCGAATATATGGCATACATTCAACAAAATATGGGTACCAGAACATGTGCAATTTTCTTATAAGGAAAAAAACGGGTACCTAAACTGTAGAAGACAAAATTTGTGAACTACTCCACTTTTGACAATGAGCTGTAAGGAAGGAAAATGTGCTTAAATTTATTATGTGCATAGATTGCAGTTTTTGTGGCTACTTAGTTCACATGATTTGAGAATGAACTTGTCAACCACATGGCCACGGAAGCTACATGTGTGATGTAACCTTTTCTTCTCTCCGAGAATTATTTCCAGGTGAGGCTCGTCTACTTTTCCATCAAGTGTCATAGCACTTCCTTAGTGCTGATTTAGACATCAGTCATACTCATCACAACAACATTCCCAGTGTAGTCCCACAAAGTCGGGTCTGGTGGGGAGGATAGAGTGTATGTAAACCTTAGCTCTACCTCAAGGTAGAGCGGCTGTTTCCGATAGACCTTACCTCTACTACAAAGTGGGGTTTAGACATCAGTCATTCAAAAATAAAATAAAATGCACCCTGCTGATCCCACATTATATTATTACCACAATTACCTTATTTGGTCGATTAAGGTACACCTTTAAAATACGACAGATCAACACTAGATGGGTTATTTCTGATATATGTGATAGTTAGCTTCTCACTTGATGGAACATGAAAATACAAGACCTTTCGAGAACTGGTGATATCTCTCACCAAAAATATGTTATTTCCATCAAAAAAGTAACTGGAGTAAGGTTGAACAGGAGCAAAAGCAGTTTTTCGTCAAGTTTAAAGAATCAAAGTGATTCTACTCTACGTACAGCAAGAAACAGATCAAGGTATGTCTTCTTGATTACAGCATTCTTTTCACATCCATTATAAATTTTGATTCCTTACAGGATATAGTTGAAAGCAATGTTCATTAGAAGTAGATAAGCAGGGAGTGAAAATATCACCAATAATTATATACTTGCGTAAAACGGAAGATTATACATTAGGTTTTCTTAAATACTCAAAATACTGATGGGATAAAGTGATATCCAATTATATTAAGATAGAGAAAGTAAACTAAAACAGAGATACCCAATATATATCCTAGCAAGTAATTATTGCATTAACCTTCAAATTACCAACTTTTAAGTATTGGTGCATAGGGAAGTATTGTTGCTGAGGGTTACTTATCAAAAAAAAAAGTTAATATGCTGAGTGTCATGGCAACTTTATCATCAATTCATAACATAACACATGCTAAATTGAAAGAATGAAGATTAGAATGAAATTAGAACTTCATAGAATTACCTCCAAATGTCGCGCTAGCTGCAGAGAAAATGAGTAGTGGGGGAAACTGCAAGAACAAAACAAGGGGAAAGGTGAAGCTTTAGATAACACATCAATTGTATACTCAACTATACATAGATTTGAGTACAGCACAAAAATCAAGAATACAATGAATAGGAGGAAGAGAGGAAGAAAAGAGTTTAAGATCAGAAAAGTGGATTAAGTGCCTACCCCTATAACAAATGGAAGCCACTTTGGACCCTTCACGTGTCTCTGGACAAAAGGAATTCCTGAAAAGTACTAGCATTAAGACTTCAGCTATGAATTCATTAGATAAAAGAGAGGGAAGTATTTAGTTTAAGATTTCAACCACGATTTACTATAAGGAGAGTAGTACAATAAAGAAAACAACGATAAGCACAGAAGAGATGATTAATTAATCATGCCTGTATTGAAACCATGAATTGCACTGAGCAGTCCACCAATTCCAGAGCCAGCCTACACAAAGGTAAAGAATATTACTTTAACTAGTTGGTAAAAGCTCTTCATATTATGATTGCGCTATAACTCTGTTCACTATGGGTTTATTAGCCTTGTCCAACCGATTATAAAAAATTATGATTAGTAAGACAAGGGTAAAATATTCGGCTTCAGGTAAAAGACAGTCTTTCAGATTTTCAGGTGGAAGACATTCAAAAACGGAACTCTTCAGGGGTCACAATAGAAACTTTCCTCTGCATTGAACTCAACTAAGCTCAATTCCAATTTACTATGAAACAAAATCTTGAAGTTTTGGACATATACAAAACATTCATATAACATTAAGAGATCTTCAGCATCAACCACTTTCAGCATCAACATGGTGTGATATTGTGCTTTGGCCCAAGCCTGCACAATTTTCCAAAAGGCCTCACGCCATTAAGACTATCCCCATACTTTTTTCCATGACCATGGTTTTGGGCTAGGTTACCAATCTCAAGAGG